CACCCGCCGGTTGAAATTGCTGCTGGTAGGTACCCTCCATGCCGGTCGGTCGGGAGGATTGTCAGCTTAAGATGTTTGTCGGCGCTGCTGTTTGGGGTCGCTGTGCTGCTGTCGGCTGTATTCTGGTTGCCGACGTACTTCCGACGAGGTTCTGGTCGCGGAGGGCTAGATCTCGATGAGTATGAAGGTGAACGGTTGGATTTCTTCATATTTGGTGTTTTGTAGGACATTTTGTGCATTCGTAGATCTGGATGCGGGGTGTCATCACATTTTTATCGCACTTTGCTCTCCAGCATTTTGTTTTACATGTTATTTTAGATAATGCGGAGGTTGTTCCGTTTGTGGGTTAGGTACAGTAATTGTTGTGTTTGGATCAAACTACCCAATGGTTGGAGCTTCCTTTTAACTTTATAGATTGCAGGCATGTAAGATGCCTCTGAATTGCTGTTTTCTGTGCTTTAGAGCTGAATTTCTGGGTTTGGTGTCGAAGTATTGCCAATTTTATCCATTTTGTGGCGATTTTGGTCGAGTTTACAGCTCAGGATGCTCAAAGCCTCCTGCATGGATGGATCTGAATTAGTCATAATTTATATTCTATATTGTAAATTTCATTCTAACTATAGTTTTGTGAATCTTCATTCTTAGTTGTTGTATGCATTCTATGTAGTGATATCCTTCACTGAATTGTCTATATATCTCAGTGTTTTTGGATTTACATACTTAGACATGACTTGTTATGTATTTGTATATCTCACAGTTTCCTTATACATTTTGTTAGGACTTTATGTTGTGCTAAGCATCTGTAATTTTAAGGATTTGGATATGAATTTATTCTAATTCTGGATTGATTATTCATTTGTTTCCTTTTAATTTATGCATATTTGCTATTGTTGTTAGTGACAAGACCTGTTTCATATGCAGCTCCTGTACTGGCGAGTTTCAGATTACAAAAGCCTGTTGCTTTGCTAAATTTGAATGTTGCCAAGCTTCAATACGACATATTTGCTGAGATTGGTGTTCCGAATACCACTGTAACTCCTTCTATTACGTTCTCACTGAATTCTCGTGTCTTATTTCGCCTTTTTTTCCTTCTCTAATTTTGTTCGCTTGCCAGGTATCTGTTTTCAATATGGAGCCTTTTGGCATAAATTCAACCAATATTGTCTTTGGAATGTGGCCATATCCAAAGAAATCAAATATATCGACCGGGCTAAGCATCCTTAAGTCTTCGTTTGTGTCTTTGGTTCTAAGACAGTCCACTCTTCACTTGACAACACCGTTGTTCGGAAGCTCATATTTTTTTCAGATTTTAAAATTTCCTGGGGGGATTACCATAGTGCCACTGCAAAATGCTTTTCTTCTGCAGAAAGAGCATATGATTTTTAATTTTTCATTGAATTTTCCGATATATCAAGTTGAAGACAAAATTGATGAATTGAAGGACCAGATGAAGTTGGGCTTACGTCTAACATCTTATGAGGTTTGTCTTTTGTTTCTTACCTTCTCGTGCATACCGTTATTTTAATCATCATGTTCTCACTGTTCATTAACTTACCTAACTTGAACTTTTTAATATCATTGCTAGTTATAGTAGGACTTGGCGAAGTAATACGTTTTAGTGAGATCTGTTCCTATTCACTTCAATTTTTTTTTTTAAATTTCTCTGATGAAGTTTTAAAACCTATAAAGTCACCTCCTTGAGCTTAAATTTGCCAGACAAAGTGCTTCAATATTTCATCTTCTTTTTTGTTTTCATGATACATTTATTAGGCATGCTTACTTTTTCTCATACACTAAAACTAGTAGGGGTGTAAGCGAGCTGAGTTTGAGGGAGCCCAGTGTTTGTTCGTGTTCGGTTAGTTCAAATTTAGTTTTTTTTTTTTGTTCTAAATTGCTCATGTTCGAAATGACTTGTGAATAATGTATTCGTATTCTGCTTAGTTTGATTTTGTTTGTTCATTTCAGCTCGTGTTCAACTCAAATTTAGTTTGAATAATATAAAAATTTATAAATTTATTTTTTTAACTGAATAAAAAATAAATATAAAAAGGTCATAATAAGTATTATTTGTTAATTATTTAATTAATTCTAGCTAAACCTAAACATGGAATGCTCTGCATTTATGATCTACGCTTAAGCACAAATGTTTCCAATATCCATGCTCTTACAAACTCTCATTTTCAAATCATTCACAATTATTTTGCTTTAATGCAGATTCTTTTTGTGAGATTGACAAACATAAATGGTTCTACAGTGTCACCACCGACAGTTGTTGAGACATCCATTGTGTTTGCAGTCGGGAATAATCTACCTTCGATGCCACGGTTGATGCAATTGGCTCAAAATATTAGGAATTCCTCTGCCGGAAATCTAGGTCTAAATCACACTATATTTGGCAGAGTAAAGCAGATCCGTCTCTCCTCATTTCTTCAACGTTCTCTAAATAGCAGTTTCGGTTTTTCTTCATCGCCAAGTCCGTCTCCCCAACCTAGTGGAGACCAACATCACGATCATCATTCTCATAACAGTCATCACTCCGATGTGCATGACACACTTTCGCCTTCGCCTTCGCCTGAAGCTAAACCCGTGTTCAGTCAAGCAGCTCCACCTCGGCCTGGTTGTCGTTTTAGATTTTCACGAGATCCTAAAGGCGAACATCAAATTGTTCCCACTGGGGCTCCTGCAAGTGCACCTTATTTGTCGGCTTCTCCATCTTCGGAAGATTCCTCTGCACCGGCTCCTCATTTACCTCCAAAACAGCATAAGTCCTCTGTCATTTTTGCTGATTCAAGACCTCCAGGTGAAGCTGCTAGGGATGTCGGACGTCAGAACACTGCGCCATCTATTTCACCTTTACGGTCTTCATGTAAGTTTTTTTTTTTGTGTAGTTTATTATTTATAATCTTGTATTTTTTAAGGGTTGGCATGGAAATAATTATGCTAATATAGAATGTCAAGGTTTATCTTGTTCTCCTAAAAGACCCTATTACAACACTATAGTTTGTGAACTAAAATTAACTATTGCATCTGTATTTTCGAAAATTTTTCAGTAAATCTTGAAATGATGGCTAAAGGAAAGCCTACATGTGTGGTTATATATGTAAAAATTGGCTTGATTGGTTGTATGCCAACAGAAATATTAAGATATAAAGGAAAGGAACGTGAGCCCTTGTTACAACACTATAGTTTGTAAACTAAAATTAACTATTGCACATCTGTATCGTCGACAAATTTTCAGTAAATCATGAAATGATTGTGGTTATATATGTAAAAATTTGTTTGATTGGTTGTATGCCAACAAAAGTGTCAAGATATAAAGGAAAGGATGTAATAAGTTGCAAGAACGATACCATTGCTAGGTTTGCTATGTCTAAGGGTTTGTTTGGGACAGTTTTTTGCCTGCATTGTGTTTTAGGCTGCAACCACAATTTTATTTAGGGAACTATTTTGTCGAAGCACACTTTAATGCATGAACTTGACGTGTTCACTTTGAATTTTTCTCTTTCCATATCCCTCATGACAACTATGGAAACCATTAGATGCAGCTCCCATTTTCTTCAATTGCCTATGCATTTACATATCCAACACCTACACCTTCAATTTTAACATATGCGACGTTACCCCTGCTTGAAAATGTGTATTACACTCTGGAAAGAAAGGCTTTGATATGTCAAATGGAAAGAAAGGCTGTTTACATGCATAGCACCCGAAACATCGCAATTTACAAATCTAGCACCCTCTTTCATCCATGTTTTTTCATTTTTATCAAATTCTCAATGATTTGATTCTAGCACGCATAAATACATCAGTTTGATAGTTTATCTAATTATCCATAGAAAGAACTGATTGATTAACAGCTTTAATGTTACAAAAAAACAAAAAAAAAAAAAACATTATAATTGCACATTATAATTGCATCAATAACAAATAACATATTATTTTTTGCAGCATTTGTGTCAGGCCACAGGAGAACTCATTTGATCCTTGCATCACTTGTGTTTCTATGGCTATAGCAGCGGAGGCAAACAGTTGGTTTTCCGAAGCCCAACCCCTCTCACCAGCTCGGCAAAGCTGATGATAATACCAGAGAGAGTTCAGAAGAAGCCGCACAAGTAAGTGGTTCTTTTTCCTTCCTCTAAGCCTCTTATTTTTAATGAAATATATTGTATATATAAGGGATTTATGGTCAAAGCCACAGAGGTGGCAGGCCGGCCTTTTTTCCTTTTTTTGAATGTACTAATGCACTAGTTTTTTATCTAGATATGTGTGCTTTTCACAATAAAAAAAATAAGAAAGAAATGTGATCAAAGTTATTTCTTATAGAAACTCTTCTTTTTCTTTTATCAAATTGTCTTTATGTTGCCTGATATTTGAGCTTATAGGATGGAAATCTTAGTTATAGAAGGGAAATTTAGATTCATACCACACAATTCTTATGTATTTACGTATCGAAGACCCGAAGTTTGATGTTTACCACTACATTGGGTTGTTAACTAGCCGAGTAGAGGCACGGTTCGAATGGATTGAGTTCAGATGGAAATCGGCTCGTGGTTTGTTATGTTCTATTTCGAGCAAAGTCTGCTTGAAATTGAATTAGAGCTTGAACCGACTTGAAATCGAAACGAGCTTGCTTAAATTTGAGTTATTTGGATCCGTTCCGGCTTGAAATTGGCTCTATCCGGCTTGAAACTAAAACAAGATGACTCAAATTGAGTTTTTTGGATTGGATTTGCTAAAAAAACGGCTGGTAAGTCGTTATATTTTACCTTATTAAGCATTATATATAATTTATTTATAAATAAAAAAAGTTCGATCTAAAGCTTTAGCTCAAAGCGTTGCTTATTTATTTCGATCCGACCTTTATCCAAGCTAAAGTTTGAATTAATTTTTGAGCAATGTCGCTCTTCGAGCTAAAGTCACATCCCTACATTTATAATGTTTTGATGTTATAAACATCATGTATTTCACTTTTAAAAAGATTTTGATTACGGTATCTTTAATGTGACTTTAGAAATTTGAGTGATAGGCAAATAAATATGAATGTTTAACTGTTGGATATGCAAATGGATAATTAACTTCTTGAGAATTTGAAAAGAAAAAAAAGGAGTTATGGTATTGTTAGTAATTCTGACATTGGGCAGAAATTTGATTTCATATATAATTAAAAATTTAAGCATTATGTAATTTTGTTTTTTTTTTTTTTGTTCTTTCCTATTTCCTTAGTCTTCATTAGGGCTGTCAAAATGGCTCGTTGTTCGTGAACAACTCGAGTTCGGCTCTTTAAGAAGCTCATGTTTGCCGAACACGGGGAAAGATTTGTTCGTTCTTGTTTGGCTCGTTTTGGCTCTAAATACTATTCATCATTTATATCAATTAAAAGTATTAATTAACAAATAAAATAAAAATTATTAAATTAGATTTGATATTTTAATATAAACAATAATTCTTAAATCTTACCCTTACTCTTAACATCTTATGAATACGTGATTAGGATTGTCAAAATGACTATTTGTTCGGGAACAACTCGTGTTCAGCTCGTTAAGCAAACGAGTTGAACATGATCATACCTTTTGAGCTCGAAATATAAAAGAGCCGAACCTAGTCTTCATTATAATGAATAATAAAAAAGGTGTAATGTTGCTGTCTACGCAATATTTTTTTTCATAATATGTTTATGTTATAAATATTTTTAATATATTCGTGTCGTAAACTTGCATTTTAGAAGGTATATTTTAATAATGTTTTTTTTTTTTTTTGATGAGATGTTAAATATTTAAAAAATTTTTAGAGGTATTGTAAGGAGTGGAAAGTAAAATTTGAGAGTACAAAGCTTCTAAAAAAAGGATTTATTCATAGTTTATTGTAATATAGATCATACAAGATTGTATGATGTTGATATTGCATGAATATTTTGCTACTTAGATAACTATTCTATGAAAGATTTAAAAGGGGTGAAAAAAGGAAATTAAATTGAGTTAATTTATATGTGAATTAAAGTCATGACAATACATGTTTATTTGTAAGGATTTTGTAATAGCATGAACTCTCATCCGTCGAGGTATTGTCCGTTTTGATTCTAATAACCTTCCATTTGTGCCCCATTGGTGTAATTTCATAGGAGGTCACCTATCCAAGTAGTGTTTTAGCACTAGTACACTTACGATGGCTATTATATATATATATTTGAAAAGTCAAGCTGCAGTTAGAAAGCTGTCACTGCACCTATAAGCAAAACCGGTGGCAAAATACAGATTTCAACAGAAATTTTTTTGAAAAAACCACCATAATTGAATTTACCTGAATAGATAGAACTGCGGTGTGGTGTTGTGTTGTACTGTCGCCCCAAAAAGACTCTTAAATTTATAATTTATGATAAAATTTCATTAACTACACATAATGACATCTTTATGCTTAAGGATTCAACTTCATTCTAGTTAAAAGTTCTAAGTGTATTCATGATCATTATTTATTTTGCAAAAAATTATAAGGAAAATCTTTAAGTCATTTTTCTTAAAAATTTGGACACCATCAACCAATACATTTTAATCTATAGTGATTATCCTTTTTTTTTTTACAACTCACTATATTAAATATTTATTTTTAGTATAGTCACTAGATATTCATATAACATTTGTTCATTTAAATATCATCAAAATATATTAAATTATTCTTTATGGGTGGCTGATTTGGTGGTTCATCCCCTCTAATTATACAATCTCAATTATAATTTTGTTTTAGGGTCCGTTTGGGGCAACTTGTGTGTTTCAAGATAAATTGTTTATCCTGAAACGCGGCCCGCGGGCCGGCCGCAGGAGTCGACCGGCGGCCTGCGTTTAGTATAAAAACTCAAACGCATTTTCGGATAAGTTGGCGAAACGCGCGAACCAAACAGTACTGCAGCGTTTTGAAAACGCCGCCCACACTTCTAAGCTGCCCCAAATGAACCCTTAAACTAGGTATGGGGAGTGATTTACATATATACCATATGACTTTTATATTTTTACATAATTATTTATATCATCTTTTTATGATGTAATTTAAAAAAGAAAAGAAAATTATATTCAAACAACGTCCACAAGTTTGAAAATTTGATATCTAACTAAAAATGTCACAACTTGAAAACTTCTTCTGCAACAGATTAAAAATAGGAATATTTACACACATATCACTCAATTCCTATGTATTTATATATATATAACATCTAAACTTTATTTTTTTACATAAATGCCAGCTGACTTATAAATGAAAAGTGCACTTCACTCTTTAAAGGATTGAGGATGGATGGATCAAGAAGGGAATTGCACTGCGGTTAATAGCAAAGGAAGATCATGATTCAATGATTCTTATCCTAATGGGAGACTCTCTGTTATGCATCTAATGAGTAAATTGCAAAATAGTCGCTTGACTATTTACATGGGATCGTTTTAATCCCAGAGTTTATAAAAGTGCTAAATTAATCTCTAATGGAGGCAAAAAACATTCCTCACTGGGGACTATTTCAACCAATACTAAGAGTTTGGGGATGAAATTGAAACTATTATAAACTCTGAGACAAAATTCGCCACAACAAAGAATCAAGAGACCATTTTAACGATTTCCTCGAAACTAATTAACTCATAAAAATATAGGGTGCAACAACCTAATCAAAGGATTGCACCAACAAATTCATATTTTGAAGCAAATATTATGTGCAGCGACTGCACGTCCATATGACTGTCTGGATATGCCATCGTGCGATACATGGCAACGCGGCCGCATCTGGGCCATCTTCCGAACATGCAATGTGTTGCACGTAATATTTTCTCCATCTTCAGGGTATAAAAGAAATAAGCCTAGGAGATCAAGGTTATGAAGAAGAAAATGAATAAATTTCATCCCTCATCTCCTCCCGCAAATCCCTTCAGAGTCAACCTCCTCAAAAGCTCATCACCACCACCATGAAACTCTCCACAAGCTCCCTCAACCAAAGAACGCCATGCCCCTAACCCTAACCCTGACCCCATCTTCCTCCTCTCCATCTCCTCCAACACAAACCAAACCTCCTCCATTCTCCCACCTCCAGCAAGCCCCAAAACCAAAGCCCCAAAAGTTTCCAAACGAGGGCAATGCCCCCCCACCAACATGGCATTCAAAACCCCCAATCCCCTCTCAAAATCCTGAACTTTACAAAACCCATCCACCATCATTCTATACACAGCCGCACTCGGCCGCAATCCCTCCCTCACCTCCATCTCCACCAGCACCTTATAAGCCTCATCCGTCCGTCCATTCGCGCACAAATAGTTCACGAGGATGCTATAAATCACCTCATCCGGTTTCATTTTTCGTCTCCTCATTTCGGCCAGAAGCTCCTTCATCTCATCGAAATCGCCTCGCCGGCCGCAGTCGCTCATCAGGACTCCAAAGTTTGCAGCTTTGGTCTTGCAGCCATGATATTCCATGTCGAACATGAGTTTTCTTGCTGCAACATAGTTGTTGGAGGAGCACAATCCTTTCATTAGAAGGGCATAGGTTACACAATTGGGGTCTATCCCTTGCTTCACCATTTCCTCCTTTAAACTCATGGCTTTGCTTAAATCCCCATTTTGGCCTATAGAAGCAACAATCTTTTTCTTAACAAATTTATAAAATTACCTGAAACATTTACATATCTAACCCTTAAAGTTTGTTTTTTTTATGTTTATACCAACCAAATCTATCATATCACATCAAATATATCACCATTATAACTTTTTTAAGAAAATGGGAGCATGTAAGGTGAGGATTTGGTTGTAAAAATTGAAGTTTTGATGTTAGATGAATGATATGTAAATATTCTTTATTATTATTCTTTCAAAAGTAGCCCAAGCATTGTTTTCTACTCCTTACCTGCAAATCCGATGAGCATATTATAGCTGACCACTGACGGGCGGACACCTCTCTGGCGCATTTCATCAAACACTTGCCGGGCACCATCATACTCATCTCTCCGCAACCTTCCCTTCATGACAATGTTATAAGAAACATGATTTGCCCGAAGACCGAATTCAGAGCAGCGATCAAGGAGGCGTCTAGATTCATCGTGACAGCCATTGTTAACGAGCGCGTCGAGGAGGTGGTTGAAGGTATGGAGAGAGGGAGATTTCTGAGAGCAATTGAAGGAAGGGATGGAGAAGAAGAGGCGGAGAGCTCTGTGGGGGAAAGAAGCGAGAGAGAAGTGGCGAATGAGAGCGGAGAAGAGGGAGTTGGGGCAGGGGATGCGGTGGGAGCGAATGAAGAGGAGGAGGGTGTCGAGCTCGGTGAAGAGGCGGGAGCGAGCGAGGCGGTAGAGGACGGAGGAGCAGGAGGGGTAGTCGGGGTTGGAGGACGAGAGGAGATGGCGTAGGGCGGCGGAGGGATCGCCGGCGGCGAAGGATTTTAGGGTTTCGTTGGGGTGTTTGGGAAGTGGGGGATGGCGGCGCGGATGTTTTGAGCTGGGAGAGCGGCGGAGGCCGGTTCTGATCTTCCGGCAGCTGGTGTGCATTTCGGATTTCAGAGATCCTCAAAATTTTGGGCGGTGTTTTGTGGCATATTGTTTTGAGCACAGTAAAAAAGGGAAAAAAATTGAGTTCTTTGTCAATCGCACGCAGAGATGTGTATGTAATAGGGTACATGGGCGTTATGCGGGGATTACAAGCGTGTTATAACTTCTTTGTAATTTTCGTGTAGCTCGCCTGTAACTCGCACTTTTATTTTATTCATTGGGGTTACAAGATTATAGCGGGGTTACACGAGAGTTACACGGGAGGTACAATGGGGTTATAACCCCTTGTAATCCCGGTGTAACCCTCGTGTACCCTTTTAAGTACGTAACTCTTGCGTACGTTTGACATACGTCATTTTTTTCCATAAATAACACGTATGCAGCATTGCGTACGTTCATGGGTTATTCACGGGGTACAGGGGGGTTATATCGGGGTTATAACCCTCTGTAACCTCCCGTAACCTCTTTGTAAATTACTTGTAACCTACAAATTAGTTTCGTGCTTCTGTAATTTTATGAGTACAAATAAGTTATACGGAGGGTACAAGGGAGTTACACGGAGGTTATAGAGGGGTATAACCTGGATATAACCCCTTGTACCCCCTGAATAACCTCTAACGTACGCAGCGCTGCGTACGTCTTATGTAGGCAAATATTTTCCCTTATGTACACAAATATTTTCCGTAAATAAGGCTGTCAAAACCCGTTAAATAGTTCCTATTGGATTCATTCGTTAAATACGGACTACTATAAAGCTTTATAATCAATTAATATTACTAATTAAAATTTTAATGAAATGTTATGAAATTTTCTTTTAAAAAATATTTTAATATAAATAACAATATTTTAATATATTTAAAAAATATTTTAATCTAAAAAACAAGATTTAAATACGTAAATACACAAGAATTGAATGGCATTTTTGCAAATTCTTTCTCTTTAAATTGTCAAACTTTAATTTTTCACATTTACAACACTATTGTTTATGCATAAAAAGGCCGCAATATGAAAGGTTATAAATGTAAAAAAATTAAAGCTTAGGTGTTAGATGTGTAAATGAATAGTAATTGTGCGGCATGTTAAATGTCAGTAAGATTGGTTAAATCCGACTTCCAAATGATTAATTCAATCCAAGTTTTAGACCAACATAGGAGAAATTTGGAAATTCAAAAGATAAAAGGTGAAGCATTTACATATATACCACCTAATTATTATATATTTACAAATCTAACGCCTAAACATTCATATTTACATATATGTCATTCAAATCTTTAAAATCAAATGAAAAATATCATCGTCGCTCTCGTTTCATGATTAAAATATAAATACATATTTTCGTGCATAAGTTTATGACACCAAGGTGTTATAAATCTAAAAATCAAACTTTGGGTGTTAGATATGTAAATACAGAAGAATTGTATGGTATGTATGTGATTTTTTTTTTTAAATCCAGTTCAGCAAGACTTAGACTAAATCCTAACAAAATTTTAGTAAATTTTGCCAAAGAAACACCTCTTAAGCCTTAAAATATCTTTAAAATGAACTGAAAATCAAGTTCTCACAAACCCAGTCTCTTGGAAAAAGTGCTGTTATCTTTATCAAGTGTCTAGAGGGAAGATGGCCTGAATGAAGAAAAAATGTTACAAACAGAGTCCCGACGTAGCTCTGCATCCGGACTCTAATAAAATGTTGCCACGTGTATATGACTGGACTCACCTAAATGACGAAAAATGCGCTTATTGTGATGTTATTGTAAAACGACTCGATTAACACCACAGTAACACTGCAATACCACTGTTGCCTTGGTTTCATTTCAATAACTCCGCAAAACAACTCAAATAGCATCACAATAGCACTGCAATACCACAGATACCACAGTTTTGTTTCAATAACTTCGCAAAAACAACTTGAACAACGCCACAATAACACCGGCGATCGGTGTCAATAACATGGCCCGAAGAACCACAAAAATAACACAGCTGTAACACCGCAATAACCCCTCAAGACAACTCCAATAACACCACAATAGCACTAGTGAGCACTGTCAATAACACCGTCCTGAGAACCAAGCAAATACACAACAGTGTTATTGGGATGTTATTGGGGTCTCTTCGTCCTTTTTAGGTGGATCCAGCCAGATACACGTGTCAAGTTTTATTGGAGTCTGGAAGCAGAACTGTATCTATGTAAGATATTTTTCGAAAAGACCATATTATCCACTGTCTTCTTTGTTATTTCCAATATCAATATGCATATGGAGAGGGCAGAATTCACTCCTCACATATCTCCTTCATATGTCCTAGTTCTTTCTTCTATCTTGTTCAGTGTTGTCATGTATTGACAAAGTATTCTCCTCCTATAAGATCATACATATTTAAGTAATACCATTGAAAAAATATTATCTTTTTTATAAATTATGATCCTAAGAGATATTAAATATCATCATGGACTAGCAAAGTGTTCTTTTTTTAAAGGCTTGATAATTTTTTACCAATTAAATTTAGTATGATTTTATGTACATAATGTTTATCTTCATTGTGAATCTAATACTCATTTCAAAATAATAATAATAATAATAATAATTTATTATAAATGTCAATTTCTCCATGTTTTGAGTGCTTCTCTCTCTTAAATATGTATTTTTAAAGAAATTTTGTTTTTTTTTTGTTTTTATAATAATCATGTGTAAATAGATTTTTCTCCCAAAATATTTAGTTTGTAAGGCTTTTTCATTTTAATTTTAAGAATATTTTTTGATTTTGGATATTCAGTGAAGTGTTGTCTCTTCTGATGTATTTGTCATCTCTATTTTTTTTTCTTAAATTTTAATTTAATGTTATATAAATTGATAATAATTTTATTGATAAAAATAATTTACTTAAAAATAAAGGAAAAGAAAGATATTTCTAATTATCACCCTTTTATATTTATATGTACTATTATTTATCATATCATGCAAGAACCTAACATAAATGAGCTATAGTTTATTAACAACCCTTTAATTTTGATTTATATTCATATACTAGACTTATGCTACATCTAGAATTGTGTGATATTTGTAAGTTTATATATATATCACAATGATGTGATGTAATTAGACCTATAATGTTATTATATTGTTATTGTCATCTATTTTATAAAACAGCTTAGGTTACAAGGCTTTGTGAGCATAGGTTGTTAAGGACATGCTTGTTTTTTTTCCCTTAACTTTCATTACTTTTCATTCTCTTTTTTACTTTATATCAAGTGCTTTGTGAATCACTTTGGTTAACGTTAATTGAATTGTCTGTGATGATATAAAGAATTTTATGATTGCATAACGTTTACTTACAATTTATATTCATTTAAAATAAAGATACACTTCGCCTATATTTTCAATAGAAGCAGTAATTATATATTTGGTTCATCATGTTGGATATATATATATAT